TTCGTCATTCGTCATTCGTCATTCGACGGCCCCCGTCTCAGCATCGTCGGCGCTCGCCACAACAACCTCAAGAACATCACTATCGACATCCCGCTCGGCGTCTTCGTCTGCGTGACGGGCGTGTCGGGGTCGGGCAAGTCGTCGATCGTCAACGACATCCTGATGGAGTCGCTGCGCCGCGACCTGATGAAGGGGAACGGCGAGCCGGGAGAGCACGACCGCATCGAGGGGGTCGAGCACCTCGACAAGGTGATCGCGATCGACCAGTCGCCGATCGGCCGCACACCGCGTTCGAACCCCGGCACCTACATCAAGGTCTTCGACGACATCCGCAACCTCTACGCGCAGCTCCCCGAGTCGAAGCGGCGGGGCTACAAGGCGGGGCGCTTCAGTTTCAACGTCGCTGGCGGACGCTGCGAGGCGTGCGACGGCAACGGCGCCAACAAGCTGGAGATGGACTTCTTGGCCGACGTTTGGGTGACGTGCCAGGTCTGCGCGGGCAAGCGGTTCAACCGTGAAACGCTGCAAGTCGAGTACAAGGGCGCTTCGATCGCCGACGCGTTGGAGATGGACATCGTCCAGGCGATGGAGCACTTCGAAGCGATCCCGCAGATCCATCACAAGCTCTCGACGCTCCACGACGTGGGCCTCGACTACCTGAAGCTCGGCCAGCCGTCGCCAACCCTCTCCGGCGGCGAGGCGCAGCGCATNNAAGGAGCTGGTGAAGAAGTCCACCGGCAAGACGCTCTACGTCCTCGACGAGCCGACGACCGGCCTGCACTTCGCCGACATCGACATGCTGCTGAAGGTGCTGCACAACTTCGCCGATCAAGGCAACACGGTGCTGGTCGTCGAGCACAACCTTGATGTCGTGAAGACAGCTGACTGGATCATCGACATCGGTCCCGAAGGCGGAGCGGGCGGTGGTGAGTTGATCGGCGCCGGCACCCCTGAGCAAATCGTTGCTCAGATGTTGGAAGCAGGAAGTGGGAAGTCGGAGAAAGGAAAGAAGCCGGCGAGCACAAGCGGCAGCTCCCACATCCCCCATCCCACATCCCACTTCCGCTCCCACACCGCCGAAGCACTGGCCCCGCTCCTCAACGGCGCCGGCCATGTCGTCGCGGCCAAATCCAAGAAGCGAGCGGCCAAAGAGGTCAAGGCGATTGAGGTCCGTGGGGCGTCGCAGCACAACCTGCGCAGCGTGGATGCGACGATCCCCCGCGATCAGATGACCGTGTTCTGCGGGCCGAGCGGCTCGGGTAAGTCGTCGTTGGCGATGGACACGATCTACGCCGAGGGGCAGCGGCGTTACGTCGAATCGCTCGGCAGCTACGCCCGCCAGTTTGTGGGGCAGTTGCAGAAGCCCGCCGTCGAACACGTCGAGGGCCTGTCGCCGGCGATCGCGATCGAGCAACGCACGGTGGGGCACACGCCGCGATCGACGGTCGGCACCGTGACGGAGATTTACGACTACTTCCGCGTCATGATGGCCCGGCTCGGTACGCCGCACTGCCCGGACTGCGAGACGCCGATCGGCACGCAGACCTCGGACGACGTGACCGACAAGCTCTTCACCGAGCCCGAGGGGACGAAGCTGCAGCTGATGGCGCCGATCGAGCTGGGCGCCGGCGACTCGTACGCCGACTTGTTCAGCGACCTCTTGAAGACCGGTTACCGACGTGTCTGGGTCGATGGGCAGACCTACGAACTCGAGGACGCCCCGAAAATCGACCGCCGCCGCAAGCACGACGTCGCGGTCGTGGTGGACCGCATCACGATCCAGAAGCAGGCCCGCGGGCGTATCGCCGAAGCGGTTGAGGCCGCGCTCGGCTTGGGGCGTGGCGTGATGTTCGCGGTCTATCCCGACCCCAAAAAGCCCGAGGGGAAGTGGGCCGTCCGTGTCCATAGCCAGCACCTCACCTGCGAGTCGTGCGGCCGCAGCTTCGAGCCGCTGACGCCGCACAACTTCTCGTTCAACAGCTCGCTGGGTTGGTGCGGCGCCTGCGAAGGCCTTGGCACGCAAACCGGCGCGAACCCCGCGGCGCTCTTGCGCGACGAAGAGCTGACGCTCGCCGAGGGCGCCGTGCTGCTGTGGCCTTCGCTCAATAACGACCTTGCCCGGGCGATGCTCACCGCGCTCGCCGACCACACCGGCATCCCACTCGATGTCCCCTATCGCAAGCTCACCGCCCGCCAGCGCCGCACCCTGCTCTATGGCACGAAGGACGAGTGGGTCTCGGTCGAGGCGAGCACTGCCAAGAGTGGAGTTAACATCCCCGCGCTGAAGTTCCAGTTCAAAGGCCTCTACCCCGCTCTCGAAGAAGCCTCCAAACTTTCGCCGCATTTGCGGACGACGCTCGAACATCTTGTCGATGAGATCGAGTGCAGCGAGTGCGGCGGCAGCCGATTGCGCGGCGACGCGTCGGCGGTGCGGTTCCGCGGGCTGACGATCGAGCAGATCGTGCGTTCGCCGCTCGGTGAGCTGATCGAGACCGTGGCCTCGTGGGAACTCGACCAGCGCGAACGCAAGATTGCCGGCGAGATCGTCCGTGAGATCCACAACCGCCTGACGTTCCTGGTGGACGTGGGCCTAGAGTACCTGACGCTCGGTCGTCAGGCGCCGAGCCTGTCGGGCGGCGAGTCGCAGCGTATCCGTCTGGCGAGCCAAGTCGGAAGCGGCCTGGTAGGCGTGCTCTACGTACTCGACGAGCCCACGATCGGCCTCCACCCCCGCGACAACACACGGCTCATCAAGGCGCTGCACAAGCTGCGCGATCTTGGCAA